TTTTTTCTTGATGAGTCTGGCTAATCAATTTTGTTTATCTTCTCAAAGAACCAGCTTTTAGTTTTATTCCTCTTTGCTATCATTTCCTTCATTTCTTTTTCATTTATTTCTGATCTGATCTTTATGATTTCTTTCTGTCTGCTAATTTTGTGTTTTTGTTGTTGTTGTTCTTCTTTCTCTAATTGCTTTAGGTGTAAGGTTAGGTTGTTTATTTGAGATGTTTCTTGTTTCTTGAGGTAGATTGTATTGCTGTAGACTTCCCTCTTAGAACCGCTTTTGCTGCATCCCATAGGTTTTGGGTCATCGTGTTTTCATTGTCATTTGTTTCTAGGTATGTTATGATTTCCTCTTTGATTTCTTCAGTGATCTCTTGGTTATTTAGTAGTGTATTGTTTAGCCTTCATGTGTTTGTATTTTTTACAGATTTTTTTCCTGTAATTGATACCTAGTCTCATAGTGTTGTAGTCGGAAAAGTTACTTGACAGGATTTCAGTTTTCTTACATTTACCAAGGCTTGATTTGTGACCCAAGATATGATCTATCCTGGAAAATATTCCATGAGCACTTGAGAAGAAAGTGTATTCTGTTGTTTTTGGATGGAATGTCCTATAGGTATCAGTTAAATCCATCTTGTTTAATGTGTCATTTAAAGCTTGTGTTTCCTTATGTTTTTTTCATTTTGGATGATCTGTTGGTGAAAGTGGAGTGGTAAAGTCCCCTAGTATTATTGTGTTACTGTTGATTTCCCCTTTTATGGCTGTTAGCATTTGCTTTATGTATAGAGGTGCTCCTATGTTGGGTGCATAAATATTTACAATTGTTATATCTTCTTCTTGGATTGATCCCTTTATCATTATGTAGTGTCCTTCTTTGTCTCTTGTAATAGTCTTTATTTTAAAGTCTATTTTGTCTGATATGAGAGTTGCTACTCCAGCTTTCTTTTGATTTCCATTTGCATGGAATATCTTTTTCCATCCCCTCACTTTCAGTCTGTTTGTGTCCCTAGGTCTGAAGTGGGTCTGTTGTAGACAGCATATATACAGGTCTTCTTTTTTTTTTTTGTGGTACGGGGGCCTCTCACTGTTGTGGCCTCTCCCGTTGCGGAGCACAGGCTCCGGACGCACAGCCTCAGCAGCCATGGCTCACGGGCCTAGCCGCTCTGTGGCATGTGGGATCTGCCCGGACCGGGGCACGAACCTGTGTCCCCTGCATCGGCAGGCGGACTCTCAACCACTGTGCCACCAGGCAAGCCCTCAGTGTATGTCTTTTGGTTGGAGCATTTAATCCATTTACATTTAAGGTAGTTATTGACATGTATGTTCCTATTACCAAGGACATAATTTTAATGTCATTAGATATAATTATTGCCAGGGCCCCAGGAATGCTGAGATCTTGATCATCTATTATCAGTGATCCTTCCCACAGGCTCGGAAAGCTCTCTGTGAACAGGAACAACAGCAGAAGGGTATCAAAAGACGTCTTTATTAATAGCTGTGCAAATGTCTGAGAATTATAGTAAAGGATAAGCACTCCCATTTGCCTCTGAACCTAAATCTTAGGACTGAGCAGGCCCCGTCATGCCACAGGGCGGGACGGGGATCTATCCGTGTATCCGGCTGTACTTAGCAGCCCAGCTGCGTGCACAGAGGAAAGAGCACACATGATGGGTACCACCTGGCGATGCTGTGACCGCCTCCAAACAATGTCACGGAGCTCGGTGATTCACACTAGCAACTCCCCTCCCCTAGAAGGTGCTGCAAAGGGCTGGACAGAATAGCCTGGCTGGAGGTATGTTGTCCCTCCCTCATGTGCCCTTTGCTGCTTCCAAGTCTGGCCTCACCAGCGGGCTTGCTGTGCACCCCACTGTCATGCTGTCTTCTTTTTTTAATTTATTTTATTTTTGGCCGCGTTGGGTCTTCATTGCTGCGTGCGGGCTTTCTGTAGTTGTGGAGGGCAGGAGCTATTCTTCATTGCAGTGCATGGGCTTCTCATTGTGGTGGTTTCTCTTGTTGCAGAGCACAGGCTGTAGGTTCAGTAGTTGTGGCACGTGGGCTCAGTAGTTGTGGCTCATGGGCTCTAGAGCACAGGCTCAGCAGTTGTGGTGCATGGGCTTAGTTGCTCCACGGCATGTGGGATCTTCCTGGACCAGGGCTTGAACCCATGTCCCCTGCACTGGCAGATGGATTCTTAACTACTGCACCACCAGGGAAGCCCCGGTGTCTTCTTCTTGTTGGAGACTATTTGCAATTATACTCAAAATGTCACTCTTTAGAAGATCCACTCAGCCAATCAGCTGGGTGTTCTTAACAGCCAGCATAGCTTCCTGATTTCATCATTCTGTCATAGAGGAACCCTCCTCATTAAGGGAAGCAGCAGAGCAAAGCTCAGATTGCCTGGGTGTCAGTCCTGGTTGGGTGACATCAGGAAAGTCCCCAGTCCTTTCTTAGCCTCAACTTACTCTTCTAAAAAATAGATATAATAGTATCTATGTCATTGGGTTGTTGTGAGGATTGATACCTACATTGTGCATACACATATACATGTATGTGAGTGTGTATGAAAAATCCTTGGTAAACAGCAAGGCCCCAATGCACACAGCTGTCACTATTGTCTTATCACTTTTTACTTAATGGGAGGTTTATTCCATGTGTGATTGGTGATGATCTGAAGTAGGAAGATAAAGAACCCATAGCATACAGGGCATCAGAACGTTCCCTGGACGTTTACACTTCTAGGTTTGAAGTTCTGGTTCACTGTGGTTCCCCTCATTAGCCTTTGAAATTCCACTTGGAGAATGCCGTGGAGAACTGCCATCCTACTTGCTGCCTCTTCTGGCCTTGATTCCTTTGTCCCGTTTCAGTGGCCTGACCCTTGTCCTGGGAATTACTGCCGCTGCAGAGTCTTTTCCTCATTTGCATGGCTCACATGATGGACGTCACCTTGGGTCTATTTCTGATCTCTGCATAACATCTTGACACTGGAATGTGGGAACACAAGCAGCTGTTCATTTTATACTCCCCAAACCTTGAACAAAAATTGCAAAGTGTTCTTCTGTCTTCTCAGAGAAAAACTGTCCCCCTCTTGTTCTTACTCAGTTTCAAGAAGTAACAACCGTTGCTGTATGTATGACTGGTTAAAATTCCTTCATTTCATGTAAAGGATCCTGCTTGATGCCCGCTTTGCAGCATCAGGAATACAGGGGAGCAGGGCTCTGTTAAATGTGAACTTTGAGATTTATGGGGAAGATCAGGACAGCTACACAACCGTCTGAAAAGTGAACAAGGCAGCCAAATTGCTGCTGCATTTTTTTTGTTGTTAGAAATGCTGCATCACTGCTTTGATGCTTTTTATGCTTCCGGGTATAAACATACGCTGCTGGGTTTATACTGGAACCACTGCAAACTGATAGAAAACTAAGAAGAAATCCACTCGCCTTTGCCACTTCCAAGTCTTTTTCGAGCTGAATGTTCAGTTTCATGCAGTTCTAGAAGGGAAGCCCTGTTCTGGAGTGTGTGTTCCTCGTGTGCGGGGTCCCAGAGGGCAGCTCCAGCAGATCCCAGCGATGGGTGGTCCTCCCCCCACCGCTCCCCTGCAGCTGCTCCTTCCAGAGCATGTTTAATTTCAGACCATCGGATAGCCCTTTTCTCCAAAGTAATTTGAACCACCCATCTCTGCGGCAGTCAGCACACTATCTGTGGCTCAGACAGAATTGATAGTTGTGCCTGTTTCCTTTTAGTTTTCCCCTGTAGATGAGGGAGCAGCAGAGAAACTGAAGGACATCAGGAAAAGCAGTGAACACCACCACATCCAGTGGTCTTGTTTGTTTGCCCAGTACTCCCCAGTTTGGCCCTTCCTCACTCAGCGTCTTCAACTCTTGTCCATTTGGTGTATATGGGAATCCAGCCCCCAGAAAGGCAGGGTCCCTTCTCCCTGGCTGGCACCTCCTGGATGCTCCCTCGGGTCTTCCTTGGGCACAAAGTTCCTGGCAAAGCTGCGCATTACAGGATTGAGACAAAATGGATACCACACACCGTCTTGGGGAATTTCTTCAGAAAACTGCTTGACGGGCTTGGAAACCAAGGAATGGGGGTGGGGATTCTCTGAGAAGAAAAGATGAGATTCAGACAGCTTTGAAGTGGTGGAGGGGGAGAGAGATGGGGGAAGGAAGGCTCAGGCTGGACGAGGCTCCCTGGGAGAGCCCTTCTGAATCCAGGCAGAGCTCCCATCTCTGACTCTCCTGGGAGTGCAGCACCCAAGCCTCCCCAGGGAAGCAGGGACCACGTGGGGAAACGACCCGTACACTCCAACCACCGGAGAACAACAAGGTCAGGTGACTTTCAGGGTTAGGCTTTTTTTGTACTGTGGTAGTAGCATTTCAGTCTCTTCCGTATTCCAAAAATAGCTTCCACCTACCTGCTGATGCCTGAAATCCTTGTAACAGGAGAGAAAGCCTCTAATGCCAGATAAGGAGATAAAAGACTTCATTATGCAAATCTACAGTGGAGCAACTCTGTCTGAAACATTCATATGAAAATGTCACCAATCAGCTTTTCAGCAGACGGGATGACTGATAACCACGGGGATGGCAGAGGCGTCTGCCACCCTTGACGTGAGCACAGGGATGGGAAGGGAAGGCGAGGAAGACCGACATAGGGCCGGCACCCGCTGTGCCCACAGGGGCGGCGTGGTGATGTTTCCCGAGATGACTAGGATTTAGGGCAACGAATCCGCGCGCGTCCCTGGTGTGATGATCTTCTGGGTCTTGGGGTGGAGCCACGCGGCCAGGGCGTGAAGGTGGGTCTTCCGCCTCCTGCCAGCAGCGCAGTTGTTCTTCACGTTCTGAAGCTGGGGAGTGGAAGTGAGGTGGGCTGGGTCAGACCCTTCCTGCGGGAGGCGTTCACTGTTCCCAGAGTGGAGGCTGAGCGTGAGCAGGGTGTGTGGGGGGGCAGGCGGAGAGGTGCGAGCGCCTGGGGTCGGGTGTGGGTTAAGGCGCTGGAAGCAGAGCCCCTTGAGGCTGCAGCTTTAAGTTACATCCTACCTTGTACTGTCTCCCCGGTGTGTTGGTTGAGTCTTATCCCAAGTGACGCCTGGTCTCAGGTGTGTTGTGGGGATTTAGGGAAGCACTTGGAGCAGCTCCACAAGGAGGTATCACGGGGAGAACGGGGCCTTCCTCCTCTCCCAGGACTCTGGTGCCAGGGTGGGTCCCAGCAGTGAGCTGAACGGTCGTGGTCGTGGTCAGCAGGGGTGGGTGTGGGTGTGAGGATGAACCAAGCTGACAAGGGAGCCTGCCTTCGAGCACGTGTAGACGCTTGTCTCGAGAACTCCGCGAAGTATCCGGGGGCCTTGGAGACATGCTTGTATCTGGAAATCAGAATGGCAGGGGACTTATCATCTGGGCCTAAGAACTGAATGTTCCCATCTGGGACCTGCGGGCTTCCAGCACCTGTGCATCGCTTGCTGGAACCCTGCTTTCTGATGGGCTTGAAAGACGCAGCCAGAGGCTTCATTTCCTCCTGCTGCTGTTACTTATTTTCCTTCACCAGGAATAAGGTCTCAGCAAATTGATGAATTGATCATTCCCAACACTGTAATTTTAGCAGCTCCAGCAGAGCTTGAGGAAAAATAATCAAACAGCATGTCATTTTGATAGTTCTTTACCCCAGGCCCTTGGTAAGCTTTTCCCTGTCTAATCTCCTTCCTCTGATTTTATTTTTCTCTGTAGAGCTTCTCTGGTCAATTATGTATCTTGTTTCTTGGCTGTTTTCTCTTCTAGACCATAAGTTCCATGAGGACAGGGATTTTTTGTCGTTTTATTCACTGATTTCATTTATTGTTTTATTTACTGAATGCCTAGAACAGCGTCTGGCACATCATGAGTGCTCCACACGTATTTGTTGAATGAATGAACTAATCAAACTGTCCTATTTTCTGCAAACAGATGTTCAGCATTTGATAATTTCAGAAACAGTTGCATTTAACTTCTTGGAAGACCAGCTAATTCTCCATTGTTTGTGCTATTGGAGAGCTGTAGCAGTCAAACACAAAATGTGAGTTATTTCACTGGCTTTGGAATACTCCACACTAGGTTATGACTTCCATTTCTATGGCTTCTATCATCTTTATGCCCAGTTTTCAGATGCCCAGGTCATTTTAAATACTTATAGAATGGTGTAGCAGAAAGTGTCCTATGGGATGGAGTTTCAAAGCTGAGTAAGACATGGTCCATGTTCCTAAGAGATCATAATCTAGTGGGAGAGTTAGATTTATTGCCAAATAACTAAATGAGATGTGATTCATGCAATAAGAGTAATATATAAGGAAGCAGGTGGATTTCAGATGGGTGGTCAGGAAAGTCCATGGAGCAAATGATGCTCAAATAGGGTTTTGAGGAATAAACAGGCTATCACATGACCGACAAGATGGGGAGAAAGTCAATGGCAAGTCACAGAGATGTGAAAGAGTGGCTTGGTATCACTGGACCGTTATGTGTGTAGTCAGGAGAGGCAGGGATAACACAACTGAAGTGAACACGGGATGTACCTCTAGCTTTGGGCCCTGGTCACTCTCATAATGTTTCAGACCTGTATGTCCCACTAGTGGCTGGGCATCTCCACCTCGACAATTCAGAATCATTGTAAGCGCTACAGGAACAGTGACACTCCACTTGGCTAGGATCTATTTAATTCCTTTACATGAATTTCCTGAGAAGAAATCATACGACTGATTTTTTTTGTGGCCAAATATCAAAAGACAGAAGTATAACAGAGACTTCCCTTGTGGTCCAGTGGGTCAGACTCTGCGCTCCCAATGCAGGGGGCCGGGTTTACTCCTTGGTCAGGGAATTAGATCCCGTACGCATGCCACAACTAAGAAGGCCACACGCCATAGCAAAGATCCCACGTGCCGCAACTAAGACCCAGCACAGCCTAAATAAATAAATAAAATATTTTTTTAAAAAAGAAGTAGAACAGTTTCATGCCTAAGAATTTCATGAAGTAGACTCAGAATCAAATTTGAATTCATATGCTCCAGGGTCCCAGGATGACACTGGTTGCCTGTGGCTGCTAGAATGACCATGTTCTCTTCTTTCACATAGAAGAGGAAGAGGGACAGTTGAAATTCCTCCTTTGCCTATGAAAGCAAAACTTGCAAGTAGAAAGTAGAGGTAGAAAGTAGAGGTAGAAAGTATGAGGGAGAGGAGCAGAGAGCAGAGTTTGGATCATTTTTATGTGGGCATATGGTCGTTTGGGCTGCTGTGGCTCTTGTAGCCTGTAGCTGAGAATGTTCGAGAGCTCCTGCTTGCTTTATTAGGGGTGACCTTTGTCATCTTTTAGAACTAAAGCATAGAACAAGTACAGTGGTCCCTCAGTACCCGCAGGAGATTAGCTCCAGGACTCCCTTCAGGTACCAGAATCCAGGGATTGCTCAAGTCCCTTATATAAAATGGTGTAGTATTTGCATATAACCCATGCACATACTCTCATATACTTTAAATCATCTCTAGATTACTTGTAATACCTAATACAATGCAAATGATATGTAAATAGCTGCCAGTGTACAGCAAATTCAAGTTTTGCTTTTAGGAATTTTCTGGAATTTTTTTTGGAGTATTTTTTTAAATTAATTAATTAATTTATTTATTTTTGGCTGTGTTGGGTCTTCGTTTCTGTGCGAGGGCTTTCTCTAGTTGCGGCAAGCGGGGGCCACTCTTCATCGTGGTGCGCGGGCCTCTCACTATCGCGCCCTCTCTTTGTTGCAGAGCACAGGCTCCAGATGCGCAGGCTCAGTACTTGTGGCTCATGGGCCTAGTTGCTCCGCGGCATGTGGGATCTTCCCAGACCAGGGCTCGAACCCATGTCCCCTGAACTGGCAGGCAGATTCTCAACCACTGTGCCACCAGGGAAGCCCCTGGAGTATTTTTGATCTATGGTTGGTTGAATCCTTGGATGCAGAACCTGCAGATATGGAGGGCTCACTGTACAAGGATGGAAAGCAAGAGGCTCAGAGTCAGATGTGGCTACTCTTCATGGTCCAGTGGTGCAGCCATAAGTCACGTCATCAAGTCTCAGTTTCTTGTGCACTCAGTGAAAATGGAATTGTAGCTGGAGTTCACTGAGTCCTTCATAAAAATACTCTTAAAAGTGTTCTTATAACTTCTAGATATAAGAACAATGAAATGTAAAAGAAATCCCTACCCATCACCATAATGCCTTAGACATAGGTTAAGGCACCCAGACTGTTAGTGAAGTTCTGTAGATAACAATCTAGACTTTTATATGAATCTTTATATTTGAGGAAGATTTGACTACAGTACTGAGGCGTCAAGCTCATGGCAAGCTTTTTAGAGAGAACTCTTCCTCAGGAAGCAGGTTTTCTGCTTACAGGATGAAGCATGAAAATCAACATGTATTTTATAGGGAAAAAAAGGGTATATTTAACGTATATAAATTTCTTTGCCTTGGCAAGTATTTTACAATTGATGATTGATACCAACAGTTGAGGTAAAGATATACATGCAGTATAAATAGTATAAATATAATATTTAAAGGCAACATATTTTGTTTCTATTGGCAAGATAACAATGAATAAAATACTGTAGTATTTGACAAGCTTGCTGCATCTTTCTCCTTTTCTTTTTTTTTAAGATGCACTGTGTTGTTAGGCAGCAGTGATGTGATTAGTATGTGCATAAAAATTAAGAAGTCAGGTAATTTGAAGAGAAGGGGAGTCAGAAATAAAACCATGTGTGCTTTTATTCTAAGTATCCTCCAGGTCCCAGCTTCTCAAGGTGTGGTCTTCGGGCTGGCAGGCTGGGCATCCCCGAAGCTGGTTCAAAATGCAGAAGCTCAGGTCCACCTCAGACTGCCTGAATCAGAGGCTTATTGTAACAATATCTGCGGGTAATCCGTGTGCTGCTAAGGCTGGAAAAGGCCTGCTCTAGGTGACACGACACTATTCATCCTTGTGTGCCTGTCATATTTCCTGAAAACATATGATCCCATCTCTGGAGTAGGATCAGCATTAAGGTAAATTAAAATTCACTAATGATCTTGTCTGTGCCTACTAAAGTAATCTGGCATATGTGGTTACAATTAAGATGTATGGAAGAAGTGAATTTGTTTTGCTCACAGGGCGTTGCCCAAATGGAAAATTATGGGTTTGCTGCCACCTTTTTCAGTAGGCAAGGAAACAAAAAATCCCTAGATCACAATTCAAACAGTATGATTTTACTGGTACCATACAAAACTCATATATAGCATTTTTATTTCTCTCAATAAAAGAATTGCACATTGCTGATAAAAGAAGACATTATATAAATGCATACAATATAAAAAGAAAGGAAAACACTCTTAATTTTTTTTTCTCCAGCATGAATTGCTAAGTTATGATACCAATCTCTCCCTGAAACCAAACACAATAAATTATCTTTCTCTCTAGCATTGTTGAATTACAATAAAAAACCAACTTAAATCCATTAGCAATTGGTTAAGGATAGTCCATTTGCTTAGTCTATACAATAATAAATAAGGTTGGGTCAAATGCATAGGTAGCTTGACTGACTAATGAAGAAACATGGAATTTAACAGACCTGTTTATATTTTCTAAAACTAATTTGAAGAACACAGTTTTGGTCTTAACATTAGTTTAAAAACCCTGTCTTTCAGATTGCAAAACTTTAATGAATTCTATCTTAAGAGCATCATATGTAGCAATAGTAGAATTCCCTGAAGCTGAAATGGTCCAGGACTCTTGAATGACCATCATCTCCCTTAATCTGGTGTCCAGAGTTAAATTCAGTGCAATACATTGGTAAGAAAATGCCAATTAACTGTGGACAAATAGGCCACTGGTCAACTAGAATGACATTTAAGAACATTATGAAATGTAAGTATGAAAACTCAACAGAACACAGAGGCTCCCTTTGGCTGTGAATCTGCAAAAGCTATTATACTCAGCTCTAATCAGCAGGGAAATACAGGCTCTCTTTCAGTCACTGGGCTGACTCCAGTGGTCCATAGGCGTCTAACATGTCACTGAAAGCTGTATCTGCTGGCCCCATGGCAAGCGGTAATCTAGCCTTAAATGTGGGAACGACTCCTCACCCACTTCTTTGCTTTAAAGAGGACTAAATATTATTTTCTTTGCTTTATCCAACAGCCCACTCTCCGTGTTTGAATAACACAAACAAGCTGACAACACGTAAGAACCATTTAATGTGTTTTCCTTTGGTTGGCTAATCTTTGGTAAGACATCAGGGCAGACTACATATTGTCACACTTCGGTGTCAGCAGCAGATTCTGCTCAGCTTACAGGACGGCGGGGAGACAGCGCCCAGAACAACTTGGAAAGAACCAGGTGAGGAAGGGACTCACCGAATCAGACTTGTTCCTTTTCAAAATATGCAATTATATATAAAATTGATATTTTACATATATACAGTAAAGATAGAGATATACACACATATGTACATACGCTATACATACATTTATTTACAGTTAAGAATACGCTTCTTAGAAGCCTTTAAATAGCAAATTAGGCAATGCACAATGAATAATCCATTTAATTTTAAGTAACATAGATAAATGTTCTGATTTTTAAAAATATTATATTAGTAGGGATGTAGCCGTCTCCAGGAAGGCTAGGAAAGTTCTCAGAAATTCTTGCATCTTCAACATTCCGACTTCTCAGTGCTTCCACTTTTAAGCATTGTCAATCGCTTTCTCTCTCTCCCTTGCTTTCTCACGCGCACACTCTCTCCCACAAGTGTTTGCTTTCACTTCCTCTTCCCTGAGTTTGATGTCACACTGGGGAAAACTCAGATTTTAGTTTCTGGACCTTCAGCAATGAGGGGCTGAAAAGAGTTTCTAATCCTGGCAACTTCCGCCGCACACAGATGTCCAAAGCCTTTATTGTACCATTCTGGGGAGTGACCTCTGCGGGGACAAAAATCAGAAAGGAAGTGGGAAAGTCTTTTTCCAAATCACAACAGTTTGTCATGGTCGATAGGGCTGTGCTTGTGCCCTGAATGTCAGTCCACCTGCATTACACTCGGGGCTGCTGCTCCGAGGTTCTGAGAACCTCGTTCTGTCAACAGGGCCTTGAAAATGCCTTTTTGGCCAAGTATTTGGTCTATCTTTACAGTATTCACCAGGTGCTTTAAAATGATAGCATCTCCTCAGGGGTGATTCAGACTTAATTCTAGAATTTACTGAGAAAACCCAGCTTATATCCACCCAGAACAAGAACTCAGCATCATGAATGCCTTGAAGGGGTCGGATTTAAGTTAGTTCCCTCTCAAAGGAGGGCAACTGGAGGGAGCCGCAAAAGGGACAGGCTGAAAAGAAACACAAGAGGACTCGTATTTACTGAGCACCTACTACATCCCGGGCTCTAGTGCTGGTGTTTGCCCCGTGCCCAAAGCACAGAAGTATAAGTGGGACAAAACGGAAAATAAAGATGAGCAGAGGACTTTCTCTTGAAAGTCAGAATTTTAGCAAGGGCGGAAAGAGGAAAAGCGAGGGGAAGGCACACATAATCTTCTAGAAAGCATGTTAATGGCAAGAGGAATAAAAGGACAGTGAAATAAGGGACCAGATGAGAAACAGGGCCCCAGCGGATGTGCGGCAAGCCTGCGCCCGCCGCCCCCAGGAGCCCGCTCACCTCAGGTCCACCCTGCAGATGTGGGTCAGCCTCGACTTGCCTGACCCACACGGCTCCATTAAGTACTGAGAGTCCATCACCACAGCCCGCACACCACCCATGAGCTGGGCTTCCTCGTAGTCCACAGAGAGGGACACCAGGGTGCACATTCCTTTGGGCAAATCAGTCTTCCAGGTCCTGCAGCAAAACAAACCCGCACGTCGGAATTAGGGCTGAGAGAGAAAGAAAACCCGGAGCACAGCGCTGAGGCTCACACTTATATTTTCTTGCTCAAATTCCAAGCCCAGTTACTTGGACTAAGCTGATGGTTTCCATAAGTGCGTGTGAACTTTATGCTGTGCAGTTGAAAGCAAGGGTCTCAGCCCTCTGACCCAGAGGGCAGAAACGGTCTTGCAGCTTTCAGAGCTGCTTTCGGAATCCCAAACTGAGGCTGCAGAGGCTCCCGCACAACACTGAAGGGCTGGTCTCACCGTTTGGGAACTAGGACTCGCCCATTCAAGTCTTTCAGCAAACATCTATTCGGTGTGCCAAGCTCTGAGAAGCCACTGAAGACATAAAGGTCTACAGCCCAGGAGGAGAAACAGACCTACCAAGAGAACCCTAAAGCACCACGGAAAGTGCAGTGATACGGCTGTGCAAAGAGCGCTCCGAGATCACGCACAGGGGATGGCTTCCTGGAGGAGGCGGTGCTCAACTCAAGTCTGAAAGGATGCTTAGCTTGAAGAAAACTAGGTACATGGCAGACTACTAATTGCCTTCAAGTCCCTGAGTGGCTCTTGAGCGGGAGAAGAAATAAATACAGTTGATTTGCCTCCAGAGAGCAGAGATATGAAGGTATGTTTTAATTCAGTGCAGACAAGAGCCGTCTCACAGTGTGTACTCTTCAAAAATGGAATGGGCTATATGAGGGGTAGTGAGTTCACTGTTACTGGAGCTATTCAAACATGGGGGGTTGTACCACTTGGGAAAAGGTTGTAGATGGAAGTCAGGAATCATGAGAGCATCTCTACCGTAGGATTTCTACCGTAGGATGTAGGTTTCATTATTATAATCTTAGTTATTTATGTTACAAATCCTATCCCCTTGCTTAGTTATCTCATCTCTAACTTCGTCTTGGCCTACCTCACCAGAAAGAGGAACTATAACCTAGAATTAGGGAATAAGCAAGCCCTACACAAATGCTTAGCAACTTCTCCATGGGTGTGACCATTCTCTTTTCATGCATAAGGCTGTGATTAATAACAAAGACTGAAAGTTGTACAGATTTCTGGGGATAAAATGGAAGAAGCTTCAATGAGTATCACTGGAAGCTCCTGAGGAGCTAGAGAAAGGGATAAAGTAAGACATGAACATGGTAATCCCAAGAGGAGACCAGCCTCATGCATGCTAGCCTAGACAGGGAGATGCTCTGAAAACAGGAAGCGCCTCAGCCCTGGACTCCTCTTCCATACCTGTCACTTTCTACCTTTTGTATCATAATCACAAGGAATTCCTGCTGCAGGAGACACATCAGGTTCATTATTAATCCTCTTGGGTGCCGAGTTCTTCTCCCTCCCTCATGGTCCACCCACCTTCTTCTTCAAGTCTTGGATCAACTATCAACACAGTGAGACTCTGTTCTGACCACTATATTTGAAATTCCACCCCTTCCTATCCCCCTAAGGTAAGTAATCCTATCCCCCCTGCTTATTATTTATTGACTCTATTCCTATCCCCCTTGCTTATTATTTATTGACTCTATCTCCCTAATAAAATATAAATCCCAAGAGAGCAGGGCTGTGGTCTGTTGTGCTCCCTGCAGTATCTCCGGAGCCTCCAACAGTGCCTGGCACAAGGCAGTGATGGAATGATACATGAGAAGTAGCAGGCGGGTGGCACTGCAGGATGAGTGGAAGGAGGGCGGTTCCATGCACGGACTCCGGCCCTCAGCCTCCTGTAAGGGAGCGAAGAGGCAGGCTATGGCATGGCTCCATCCCCCCTGTGGCTGCCATCCTAGAACGATTCGATTTTCTGCTTGCAAGAGTGAAGGCGTACAGTTTAACTTCCACGAGGTGAGTCCCAATAACTGCAGTTAATAAGCCACCCTTACAACGGCCCACATTCTCCACCAGGGTCCCAAGGTTGCTAAGATAAACACATATACTTAGGGAAAAAATGACCCTTAAAATTCAAGGTCCTAAGGACCAATTCCAAAGGCATAAATAGCCCATGTGAAAAATAACCTTTAGTTTGCCATAGAGACTAGTTTAATAAAGAAACTATTTAAATTACACATTTGGGAATTTCACTAGTGATTCTTTTTATACTGCTAATATATGAGAAGAGACAGTATTCACCATCAGTTATCAATAAAAAAAGGATGTATTGATTTAATTATATTTTATGTGGGTTTGTTAGAATCCTCAGTCCCTCTTCTTTCTGATTCAGTACTGACTCACCAGCCCATGTACACAGCTCTGCTGTGCAACTTCCTATTGCTGGTTGAGCATCCCCCTCCAAACCCAGAGAGCAGGGGTCCGGAACTCAACCCAAAAATCCATTAGAGGTAATATTTCGACAGTAGACACCAGCCTCGCAAGCCCTGTCAGGCCCTGAAACCTTTCTGGACATCCAAGTGTCTCAGCACAGTTGGACCTTCAGGGCTCTGTCAAGGTTTCCATGCCTGGTAATGAGTTATGAGCAGCTGAAGTTATACAGAGGCATTTTGAAGTTTCACACACTCCAGACTGAGAGTCACACCACTGAAGACTTGCTTTCCCAGGGGGAGAAAGGCAAAATCAGGAGAAAAGCCAGCCAGGTTCAATCTGCATAATTTAGCAGAAAGTACAACTGGACAAACAGCAGTTTTTTTTGGGGACTCTGTTCTGAGGAAATGAACAATATTTATGGCTTAATAAACTGTATGCTCCGTAATGAAAGGGGCCATAAGAGAACCCAGCAGAGCTGTGAACTGGGTGAAAGAAGCAGGAAGTCGGGCGTAAACACAGCAAAGTCAGTTTTCACTGAGAGAAATGAGGGCCGGCTGAGTGTTGCCAGTGGAGGGTGAACTTAGGTGGGAGACCTCTGAAATGCTTAAATCTGCAGCTCTTACCTGGCTTTTGGAGCAGAG